TTTTTTTTTTAAGTTGTCTTGTTAGGAGTTGCTTAAACATCATCAAAGCCATGAGCTGCCTGAGGACATGAACTCACCACAACAGCTTTTTATTCGCAGCACATTCATGTGGATAGAAACTTTACTATAATATTTATGACTGTTCTGTTAATAAATAATTGAATGCTGTACCTCTCCAGCTGTACCTACTGTAATGCTCTATTATACTAGAGTCTATTGTTGCACAAGGATGATGCATCAAAAGAACCAGATGCTGGAAAGTCATTTCGCTGCACTTGGTTCTAATAAAACTGAGCATGATGCTCATCAAAATTATATACTAATTTTGATTATGTCATAATCTTTCTAACATCACTAAGAAATTGTGCGGTTTAGTCATGACCAGTCACCAACTTCAAGTTACACCAAAAGACCACATTTTCAAACTTGCTCTTAAAGCTTATTTCACAGTTTTGCACTTTAAACCATGTTCAATCTTGTTAATGTTATTCTAATTTTTATCAGTGATTTACAGTATTATAACGAGCCAAGATACAATCAAGCTGGCCAGAAACATAACCTGGTCAAATATGCATCTACTATATTTGTAAGGTTCACCGTTTAAACCAAAACGTAAAACTTGAATCTTTGAAAATGTTGTGCTGTATCATGTGTAAATTAAAACTTCAGGCTGGATATTTCAAAACATCAGTTACTAACCTGTTAATGTCGAGACTGTTATTAGAACAATCACTGCTTATGTGTGTGTCAAAATAAAAACTTTCATAAAATTCATTTTAGTTACAAAAATCAATATTATGACAATATATGTGCGAACACCAGCAAAAATAATTGTTCCATTTCATCATGGCAAAAAAAAAAAAAAAAGATCACCATAGCTAAATATTGCAGGTTTTACTCAATCTAATTCATTGCAATGTGCTTTGTTACATTATCATATTCAGATGCCAACGTATATTATTTAGCTCAGTCCTAATTATAGTAATACACTGTCCATTTTTTTTTATTTTTTTATTTTTATAAAACCAATTAAGTCATTTTATGTATTTTAAAATTTTTGCTTGAATTTTACCACACTGGAACAGTGGTAGTTTTGCTGAAGGTTAATATACCCTCACAATCTCATGTCGGTGTGATGAAGAATCAGCAGCATCACTGGAGGCTGGAAGATGAAAACAACAGTTGAAATGCTAGTCGTATGTTTTTGCGTGTGTAAAGTTACATGACTGTCACAGTTTGTTTATTCAGCTATTCTGGCTTTAATAGGTGAAATCACATTAAAATCAGCCGGGCTGTTTCATGTCTTCCTTTGTTCTCTGAGCTCGCTCTTGCCCAATGCCAGACTATATGGTGAATGTTGTAAGAGATTGAGACTGAAGTTTTTAGTATGGTTTCATATGCACGTTGATTGGGGACCCAAACATTTCCTGTGGATAAATAAGCTCCCAGGTTTCTTCCTAAATAAGGAAATGGAGAGGGCCCGTTCTTTTGGGTGCATATCTGTGCCAAGTGGTATGGAACTAATCTCCACTGAGTTATTTCTCATTAAACACAGGCCTCTGGGAGGAACATCAGTGTGTGGACTGTGGACGGGGACAGTGAAGGAACTGTCTGTTCCTGCAGATGGGCTTCGTTTAATGCGAGGCACGAATAACTTTCTGACAGTTTTATTGCAGTCCAAACTACATGGCTAAGTAGAGATGCACAAGCCCTTTGTACAAACGCAACAAAGCTGTACATGGAAGAATTTGTCTGTTTCGTTGTTGCTGATTGACGGACTCACAGGGAACCCATTGGTGGGATACAGTCGAACTCAACAGCAACCCAAGTGTTGATTCATGTGCCAAGCAGAACCATCCCAGACTCCTCAGCAATGTTCGGTGTAATTTTTTCCGCTGACTGATTAATGACCAGTGTCCACGTGGACACTGAGCAGTCGCAACAGTTTAGAAGAAAAGGAACACTGATTAAAGTTGGGGTTAAGTATCACCACAAATCAAGCTCGCTTTTTGTTGTGAAGGTGCGATGAGTAACCCAGAGTTATTACTGTGTTCTTCCACTTCACTGATCCGAGAGTTTGTCTGTTTGAAGATCCCCTAATCCAAACTTCTAGTCGTCTTCCTGTGGTTCAGAGCAATAGAGCTGGCTATACTGTGACCTCCAGGAGGGAGTAGTGTTATTTTAAAACCTTGTGGCATTAGGGTAATGCCTAGTATAAGATGTGTTTAGTCTTGATTTATTAAATATGTGTAGTATGTTTACATTTTTATACTTTTATGCTCCTCAGTTTTATAACCCCGTGTATAATAACATTGCAAGAGATTTTAGTGATAAAAAGTGAGCCAAAAAAAAAAAAATGCAACCACAAAGATGTGTCAGTTTTATGGCATGTTTTAAAACTACAATGTGACCCCAACTTGCACAGTTAGGGGCCTCAAACTGAAAAGTTCCAGTCAGGCTTCCTTCCTGTTATTTACAAAGACATAAATCACCAACATCACACAGTTTGGCCCTGACAGTACCTCTGGAGTTGCAGAATTTATTCCTCGAGGATGCTGCAGCCAGTGATTCAGGGTGACTTCCCCATAAAGACTAGTACTCATCTACTCAAGAGGGAGCCACACAAAGCCCTGAACGCAGAACATATTAAGATCTTAAAATTTGGAGCAAGATGTACCGTTGTACGGTATCAGGTGATACCGTTGTAAAGCTGTGCAATATTGGTATGAAAAATGAATTAAAACAATACTCTCCAACCTCATACAGGTGAGGTGCATCTCATTAGATTAGGATACTGTGAAAAATGGGGTTGAGTAATTTATTCCAAAAAGTTAAACACAGCTTATAGATTCATTGAACACAGCATAATATAGTCTAGGTGTTCTTAGAGTGCAAACAATAATAGAAAGTTTAGTGAAAGGAAAATGTGGGGTAAGAAATTCCTCTGACAACAGGGCTAACAGTCCTCTCATTGGTACAGTTTATATCATTCTATATGTAATGTATCTGTGTAATATAAATGCAGAATAAGTTCAGATGACCTCAGAGGCGCCTTACTGAGATCAGTATGTGGTAGTCTTAATATTTAATGGTGTTTTTGCACAAAGTTTCAATTTCAAACAACTGAACCTATTTTGTTTTTAAGTGAAAGAAAGTATTTTACCCTTCTTTCAGCCACCTGACCAGCAGTGTGAGGCAACAGGTTAGTAAGGGACATTACCCAATAAAGACAAAGGAAGCTAATCGCTTTGGCACTTCATCATACCCCTTCATTATGACTTTAATGCAAAAGATTAGTATTATGAACATTTTCTTACTGTAATTTTTACTACCAGAAAGTCAAAAAAAGGAAAAAGCTTTAAGTTTAGCCAAAATACTGCACCAAGATTTCTGATGAACATAAATTTGAGACATTTTATTTCTCCTAATTCACTTTTTCTTCATTGACTCCCTGTTAAATTGCGAGTACGATTTAAAAATCTCACATACTCAATCATCAAGCTCAGTCTTATATCAGAAATCTGTTTGTTCCGTATGTTCCCACCACAGCACTTTGCGTTCAGACTGTAGATTTATTTGTGGCCCCGAACGTTTCTAAGAGTAGCACATTTTACCTTATTAGATTAGTGGCATGGCGGTGCATGTTCGTTTCAGTCAACAAACTGGACAGGCTTTGACAATTATACAGAGACAAAGATCATCAGTCGTTTCTGCTCAGCAATTGACAATGCAGAAGCCCTCATAACAACAGACTTTTCTGAAAAAATAGGTTACTATTTTAGCATCGTGACTCAGTCTGCACGTTGTCACAGTGCCAGCAGAGGGTTTTTACTGAGTGGAAGGCTTCATGTGTGTTATGAAATCTGTTGCGTGTCACTGGAAATCCTCTCAGAGACATCAAACTTTGAGTTTTTACTTTGTCTGGTTGAGCGTGTAGAAGCATAAAGTGTCTGGCCACAAAACTGGCAGGCGTAGCGAACCCTGGCCCTGTCTTTGTCTCAGTTCATCAGCTGAAGGGATTTAGTCTTCAGCTCACACAGCCAACAGCAATAATGAACAGGAGACTGTTGCTCTGCTGTCCCAAATGTATCCAGTCAACAGTGTGAATTTCTCACTCTAAAGTTTTAGTCGAGAGCAGTTTTTCTCTAAATTATTTATGCTTTGTGTAGAGACTGTATTTGTCGCAGCACTATTTGTTTCTCTGTTGTTGTAGATGATGTTAATTTGGATGTGACAGGGGGGAGAGATGAAAAAGAAGAGCCACTGCAGAGTTTACTAAGGACTGAACAATCTGACCTGCAGCTGCTCTGCATTAAACTGCAATGCACTGCATGCTGCTGTGTCTGCAACAGCAACTGGCAGGTTTTGCTGAGTCAGAGAGTGTTCACACAGCAGTGATGAGTAAGCCACTTTCCTGGTGCTCAACACTGCCACTCCCTGGCGGATCCTGCAGACTGCACAGAGTCAAGGATTGTCAGAGGATCTGCAGAAAAAAATGTCATCATTTGAACCATCTCCTCAGATGTATCTTTACTGCTCAGTACAGTTTCCATAACTGATAGATACATGACTTGTTTCTTAGTCATTGTGGTGGCTAGTGGTCAAAGCTTATTCCGTGATTATTATTATTATTATTATTATTATTATTATTATTATTATTATTATTATTATTATTATTATTATAGTAAATTGCAGATTGGTCCTTGTTAGTAGGCAGCATTCTCTGTTCACTAACTCTCTGCAGATGTTGTCTGAGCTTCTCCTACTGTTTTTATGCCTTCTTCGTTCCCCTTGTGGGAAAGTTTTCGTATTTAGCTGCTTGAGTCCAATATTGTGTGCATTGCATTCACATGAGGAAGTGATTTATGGGAATATCATCTTGTAGTGTACAAGATGATATTCCCATAACGCATGGTGTTTAAAGAGAAGTCAGCTCTCCCAGTCCCCTCTCCTGATAATGTTGCTGTTAACCTTTCTCTTCTTTTTTTCTTTCCTCACAGAAAAACTCTATAACTCCATAGGACGGGAGCTGCGGAGGGCACTTTTTTCGCTGAAGCAGATTTTTCAGGTAATTCTTCAGTATTTGTTAGTTCTTTGACAGTGCATTGAGAATGTATTCACACCTCTTGAGCTTTTCCACACACAATTGGCCATGCTTGCCATCATACGTTTTAGGTTGTTTTATTCAAATTGTGTGCTGTTTTATATATTTTTACAAGCAAAAATTTGCCATTGCTTATTTATTCAGTCCCTTCTACTCTTAATGCCGTTAGAGGAAATTTAATGGAACCAGTTGCCTTCAGAAGTCATCAATTAAAATTAGGTAGTCTAATTAAAATTAGGTAGGTAATTAGGTAGGTAATTAGGTAAAATTAGGTAGGTAATTTAATCTCAGTATAAATGCGGTTGATCGATTAAACCCTCTGAGGTTTGGTTGAGAACAAAACATCTCACAATGCAGTAATGTTCAATATGTCATCTGAAAATGGAAAGACTATGGGTCAATAGCAAACCAAGGAAGACATCACCAGGTGTTTAAAATGTCTGGTGACTTTAAGTGTCTCATGACACTTAAAGTCACTTAAATTGTTGAGCGTTATTCAACAAAGAAGCCACAAAGGGTTCAGGGAACTCCGATGGATCGGATCAGATAGGGCAGTCCTGTGGAAGACACAGCAAACGTGTTAACGACAGAGATCTGGTGAGATGAGACAAAAATTGAACTCAATTAACTCGCATGCAAAACACTGTGTGACAGAAAAATAAAACCCTGAACACACCATCAACCAAGGCCTCATGGTGTGAGGATGCTTTTTTTTCAGCAGGACAAGAAAAAAACTGGACAGAGTTGATAAGAGTTTGAAGGTGAACCTTCAAGCTAGGTTAGACTTTCACCTTGAGGCAAAACAACAACATTCAGATCTAGAATGGTCCATCCATGTACTCAAAGGCCAGGCCTAAGTCCTACTGGGAAAAATATACTTTATGTTTATGGCTGTCTCCATTCACTCCGACTGCACATGAGTTATGTTGTGAAGAAGAATGGACTAGATGTGCAGAGGTAGGACAGACATTCCTAAAAGACTTGCAGCTGCAGTTGCAGGCAAAATAGATCTTTCAAAGTATTCAATCAGGGATGGAATAGGAAAGTACGGAATGCTTTTACAAGTTATTTGGAGAAACAAGAATTAAATTATAAAAGCCATTTATCTGATTTTCTCCCACTTCACAATTGTGCACTACTTTGTGTAGATCTATTACACATAAAATCCCAGTGAAACATGTTTTCTGGCTTTAATCTGACAAAAATCTGAAAAAAGTTCTTTGCAAAGCACAGTTAGAACATTTCCCTTTAACTTAAATCTCGCAGGATCCCATCGCCGTCCACAGCGCTTCGCGTTTGCAATTTTTGCAGCGGTTCGTGCTCACCCATTAAAATGCAAGAGATATATGTGGTGTGAAAACATTATTCAGTGAACACTCACACTTGGACACAGTACTGCTTTTGTAAGGCAGAGTTGTGCTGCTGAGAGTCTGCCTTCGTGGCAGCTGCGGACCTTTTGAGGTCTGGTTACGATATGGGAACAAAAGCAACAGACGCTTCGACCGCACCGGAATAGATCAGAATGCCTCAAGTTTCCTCGCTATGGTTACCTCCATCGAATATCCGAGGGATGTTATTAACGCTCGTGAAATCCGCTCATTTCAGAAATGATGTGCATATGTCTGTTTCTTCAGTGGACTTCTGTATATTTGGAGTCTGTACCAAGTGACTGCAGTCTCCGTCGGTGATATATGGTAAAGATGTTCTGGAAGCACTTAGACCTGCTCCAGGGACGCAAGAAGCCCTGACCACCCCGCAGTGTTTATTGCTACCTTCCTCCCCTTCCCATCTGAACAGTAGAATGTATAAGAAAGCGATAAATCCTGCAGAAAACCTGATGCTGGGTCTTAAATAATGCAGTCACCAACAGGTGTGAGAAACACAGGTGGTTTTACCATCAGTAACAAAATACAAGCTAAGTTTGCGATGTGAAACCGAAACGGATCCAATTCAACCAGCTGCCTTAGTTATTGTATGTGTTGTACATATATATATATATCTTGATACCTGTGTAGGGTCTGGTTCAAAATAGTGTTCCTGGTCACCCTGTTTTACACCACACACGCAAATTTGAACTGAAAATGTTTCTTTTTTTTATCAATATAAAGTGTTTATTAATATGCAAATAATTGCAAATGCCACAATTGTAATTAAACTCAACTTTTGTTGCATAGGCTTTTATTTTCGAGTGTTACAGTAAATGGGATTCATTTTTTTTAGAATTCCTCTCGTAAAAAAACCTGAAAGTAAGCCGTGTATTATTTTCCATCGTCTACACTTTTATACACTACTTTGTGCTGGTGCGTCACTTAAAATCCCAATACTATAGTGACTGTGAAAAAGAGGGTAGTTTATGTCCACTGGCTGAAATCTATGTCTATGCAGACATATTGTGACTGATAAATAACTCATCTTGAATAGCTTCCTTTTTTCCTTGTTCTTTCTTTTCAGGATGACAAAGATTTGGTTCACGAATTTGTGGTAGCTGAAGGACTGACGTGTTTGATCAAAGTGGGCGCTGAAGCGGACCAGAACTACCAGAATTACATCCTCAGGGGTACGTACACCAGTAAACTAACGATGCTCCTTCCTCTTACCTCGCCACGAGGATGTTTCTAATCAGCCCTGTAACAACTTTTTCTTTCCATAAACCCATCAAGAGCCACATGTGTGTATATAAACTATGTAAATTGATGATTCTGCTTGATGACCCTCTTGCACAGACACACACACACACGCAGAGTTAAAGCACATAAACACACTCGAGTGTGTGCTGCAGATACCATGGTTCGGTTAGACCAAATGTAGCAGCTGCCTAATTTATGGCTCCCATGATGGGGAGGTGAAAGATAATTTGTGCGGAGGCTGAAGAGGTGAAGGACACCCTGTCCGTGGATACTTGAAGACCACAGCTTTCATTCTAAAGTCACTACCATTTAACAGCCTGCTGTGAAAAAAGCAGGTCACACATGCTTAAGTGTCTAATAAAGTTCTGCCAGGATATTACAGATCATAAAACTAATTCCACTTTGCCTTCTCTCTCTTTCTTTCCGTCTCTCCATTTATTGTATTTGTCTTTGTTTTATTGTCACTTTTTTGTCATGATTACGCTGATCTTTTAGACTGTGCTTTATTAACTATGTAGGTTTGATATTGGCTTAATATGAGCTTATGCCAAATGTTTTCCATCACATGGGTCAGACACCTTTCACAGTGTTTTTCACCCCCGTGTTGCACATTTCACTTAAATGCGATACCCGCAAGTTTATTAGAGCTATTTTGCAGCCCACTCATTATTGATACTTTTTTGTCTGCTACCTGTAGGATAGTATATAGATCTATTTTATTTAATTTTATGTGAAATATTCTTTTATATTGTGATAATGATAAATGCTTCCTACATATATCATAGTTCTTTCAGACAAATTTGAAACAGATGAAATTGTGCTGGCAGCTTAACCTTTATGAAAAGAAAAGAAAAAAACGGGGGGATTTGAAACTGGTCTCAAAAATTCTGATCAATTCATCTCAATTATTCTCAGTTCATCTCATGACCCGGGCTGCCTCTCCAGAATCGGATCTGAAATGGTTCAGGCTTCATCTGAGTTGGCTCACGTTCAGACTCATAAATCATAGCGGGCAAAATGACACAAAACACGATGGAGGATGAAAACAGCTGGCTTTTGGAAACTAACTTATCCACAAACACAAGTTATTACTGAAGTTTGGCTGAAGATTGTGAGACCACCTTCCTTTGGGCTATTCAAAGAAAAAAAAAGTGAAACATCTTGTCACATTCCAACCAAACGTTAATATGCTGTTCTGGGATTTTATGTGACAGTCCAAGAAAAATAGTCCATAACAAGTCCGTAACAAAATCAGACATTATTTTCATATTTTTACAAATAAAAACCTGGAAAGCATCCTACGCATTTAATTTCCTACCCATATGTAAACTTCTGTAAGTTTCTAACCCTAACTAACTTCTAAAGTTTACTTTAGAAGAAACTTTAATCCAAATGCATTTACTGTACTCTCAGTATTAATACAGTCATGAAATGAAGGTCTAGGGACTTTCTTAATGAACTTTAGAGAAGAAGCAGCGTGGCATGCCACGCTAAGTGAACACCATGGTAAGGAAAGCATTAATCACAGACAAAGCTATTAGGCTCATGTAACTCTGGAAGAGGTGCAGAAATCCAAAATATAGGTTGAATAATCTGTTGACAGGACAACTGTTTAGGTACTCTTTTATGGAAGAGTGTCAGGACTCCCAGAAAGACACAGAAGAAGGAGATGCTCTGGACAGACGAAACCAGGACAGAACCTTTTAGCCTGTATCCAAATCCCTTTAATATCTGGAAACTTTCTTGGAAGAAAACCTGCAAGATACTAGAAACTAGGGAAGAGGCTCACCTTCCAAGGAAAAGGTCAAGGAAAACAACCCTGAACATAAAGAGGAACAATGAAATGGTTTAGATCAATGCAGGCCCTCAGAGGCCTGCATGTTTTTGTTCTTTACTAGCTTAACACATCTGAAACAAATAATCAATTGGTGGTTCATTATCAGGCCTCTGTAGATATGTGACAAACTGAGTAGGTTGTCGGACCATTTGAAACAGCTATATTGGAGCAGAGGCACATCTGAAGTCGGGAGAACACCGACCCTTAATGACTGGAGCCGGACACCCGTGGTTTGGATTAAAACACATTTGCATTTCTGCAAAACTTTTAGATGATTCATCACATAAAATCCCAGTAGAGTACATTAAGCAACACCAGTAAAGCGACTGGATGTTTTTAAAGTTCAAAGGGTATACGTAATTTTTCACGGTGCTGTATTCTACTCAGTCTGTTGCTATTGTTTTATGTCTTCACCACAGACTGCTGTTTTCCGTATGTTTCTCTACATCACCATGAGAAACACTCTCCCTTAAGAATTTTTAAACTGTTTCAACTCTTGACCTAATTTCTGCTGACAAGCTGAGGAAATGTGGAGCATAGTAGATCACCCTACCTCTGTGGGGTGTTATTTGGAGAACACAAGCTGAGTTTGAGCTGGGACCCACATGCACGAGTCAGAAACGCATGTAGATCTGACTGCTCTGCTGTCGATGACTTCCAAGAGCAGCTAAGTCAGACGGATTCTCTACAGGGTCAGGGGAGTAAATTAGTCGTCTTAACTTTTCGCACGTGCACAGTGAGGCATGAGAGGAGAGAAATCGCTGTATGGTATCAAATACTGGTCACCTTTAATGTGGGTGTTTGTTCAGCAATTTCTTTCAAGTTGAGCCTTGGGGGAAAAAAAAAAAAAAAGAGGATAAGCGAAGAAAATGCAGTCTTGAACCCATCTGTCTGGTGTGCATTAAAAAACCTTCCCGACAAAACAATCTTGCTCTCTTCCATGAAGCTCCTTCAATCTTACGGATCTTTTGTAGTTAGAAACGACACACAGACACACATGCACACATGCACACCAGTCTGCTCTCCTTTTACAAGAACAGGTTCCCAGTCTTAAATCTGTGAGAGATTCTATGCAATCCACACTTTTCCCCCTTCTTCATATTTTTTTTTTCTTTTTGTTTTTTCTGTTCTTTCTTTTTTATGTTATTTTGTCTTGGGAAAGCCCCCTGGAGATGTCTGTGGCTAGTTAGTGCTCACACAGACCTTTACATGGCCCCTCACACCTGGCAGAGGCCTTCAAAACCTGGGCTTAGCTCTTGAAGACCTGAACTTTTTGGGGGCTCAGGAGAGAGTTTGCGCGCCTTTATCATCTCACCAGAAGTAAGGGTGTGAGGTCACTGTTTCAGAGGTGCCAATGCCACCTGGTTCTCCTGTAAACTTTGTAATTAGTTATGAAACCCAGAGACGCCTCATTTGGATCACTCAGTCCTCATTTGCAGTAAAACGCGTAGTCTCTGCTTTGCGTCCCTGAAAAAAGATGTGGAAACAGCCTTAAAATAGATTCGTATTTTAATGTGGTAGCATCATCGTTTATTGAAGAGATTTCATCATCCCATGTTTAGAAGTTACACGCTACAGAGAGGAATCGTCTCACCTGGAGACTCCAATGGAACTTTGGTCAGAGATTAAAACTGAGCTTTTTCAGCAACAAACATTTCAAATGTCCGGTGCAAAGTAAAGAATGACATTTTGTGGGCCTGTTTCTCCTCCAGTGTTCCTTGGAGCCTTGCTAAAGTGCATAACGGCATGATGATTTTTTCTTTTTTCTTTTTTTTTTTTAATATTAGGGGGAAAAAATCACATGAAAAACTGCTAGTGCCTCCTAATAAAAAACTGAAAATGAGTCGTCACGACTGGGTCTCTCACCGAGATGATCAGCCAAAACATGTGGCCATATGGGCTGCAGAGATCCACATATTCAGGGAAGGAATCTTGTTGATGGGACAACTATTAGATCCTTTTGGAAGTGCAGCAGGAAGAATCCCTGAGAAGCTCTACTTGCAGCTGGACAAAGCAAACACTTGGAAGGAGATGCTCTGATCAGATAACACCAAAAGAAACTTGGTGATGGCAGCATCTAAATCCAACTGCAAAGTTTTGACATGTGGAGTTTGAATACAAAATGCATGGCACATTTAACAAAAGCCATGTTTCATTTTCCAACTTACTTCATGACGGTTTGTCACATAACATACCAGTAAAACACATTTAAGTTTTTGGTTGTAACATGACGAAATGTTCAAGGTTCTTAAATTGGAATCATTTTGCAAGGCAAGTCACTGCATCCACACCTGCCTTTGTGCCATTCTGTCTTTTCCATTTGTGTTACGGTACCAAATGTACTGTGTTTTCAGGGTAACCTATCACTGTTGACAGCCCAGTAAGTGCTTTCACAGCTTTAAAATAAAAGCAACCTGTGCAAAGGGTCAGCTAGGTTTCAGCAGGAAGCTTAAAGTTTTTTGACTGTGGTGAGAAAAAGAATCCTTATGGTACTAATTACCAAGAACAAAACAAGGAGATGGGCTGGAAGAGCCGGTTCACAGCGTTTCTTCCTGAATCTTTGTTCCATTGGCCCAATTCATAAGGACACAAACATAATAACAACAACAACCATGTTTAATTGGTTTCTATAAAAACAGGAGTGACTGAGGGGGAAAAAAAAGGGTAGATTAAAGAAGCACTAGTTACAATGGACTTGAAGCAATTATTCTCTTCTTTGAAATGCTCGTTGTTAACATTCTTCATTTTAAGTTGTGTTTTTAGCTATGCTTTCCCGAACAAAGCCTGTGCCATTTCGGTTTGCATGCGTTTGTTGACAAAGCACCTGCTGTCTTAAATCTGCAGTGGAAACAAATTAAAAGAAAAGATTAGCTTTTTTAAAACACGGGAATTTAGAGAAGCTGCCGCCTTTCTTTTACTCTCGTAGTGCAGTGAAAAACAATTTCCTGGGAGGATTTTTTTTTCTATTTTTTTGCGTTTATGTTCCATGTAAATATTTCAGATCATCAAATACACTTTTAAGATAGACAAACACAACAAGAGAAACTATAAAACTCAGTTGCCATTAAGAGAAATGTAGCCCACGCTTCTTTG